TCAATCAATCAATCAATCAATCAATCAATCAAACCCCTTTTTTGAAGTTTTTTCTTTATTTATTTTCAAATTTTGCATCTGCATTTTTTTTAAACACCTCATACCCCTGCAAAAAACAGAAATTTATTTCTAAAGAAATACAGGTGAACTCACAGACCATATAGATACAAAAATCAGGTGTCCATGGACTTTACGTATCACAACAAAGAACACCCAACAACGCTGGTAAAAACGTCCAGCGCTCGACCCTTCTGTCCGCTGCTCAGGCCAAGAGGAGTAAAAACTCCCGATAACTCTCTTTTATCTACTACGTACGCCACACGGCCACATCAGTGCCAACTCAATTTTACTCCCTACATGACCGTTGGTAACACAACCCGGTCAACTCAGCAAAGAAAATTGGAAAATGAAAAATAAAAAATAAATAAAACATAAAAATAATAAATAATAAATAATAAATTTTACTTATCGGGAAAAATCTCTCACATTGAACAGCCCTACTAGGGCGATTTACCCAAGCCTCGTCATTGTTTTCCTTTTCACTCTTTTTGGCCGCTGACCGGTGGAGTCCTTTTTTGAAAAAAGGTTCCAACCTTGAAAAATCCGTACCCCTGCAGCCTTTTCTTAAGCCGCTCCAAGCCTCCTTTTTTGTCCCTCCCACCCTCCCAAATTTTGTAATTCCCGCGCCATTTCCCACCAGAACTGAGTGTCCTTCTTCTTTGCCATCTTTAGTAACCCCGCTTGAAAAACTTGCGGCGGGTAGTCATTCCCTTTCAATTCTTTTTGAAATATCATCAGGCTCCACCACAGTGAGAACCTGGTGTTGGAATTGTCCACAATACGGCAGATACCGTTTGAAACAGTTTCGTACTTCTTAATCAACGGAGCGAACGAATCAAAATCCCTCAGGGTCTTGAAGTGCCCCTTCTTTCCTTCCCAGATGGAACCAAGGTTCTTGAATTTGTGAAAACTGTAGATCCATGCAGGCGGCGCCGTGGCAATCAGCCTTGTTTCTAAAAACTCAACAATGTTCTCCCCATTGTCGGTTTGTTCCAAGAGAAGATCCCTCTGGTAACACTTCTCGATCTTGTCCAATACTCGATTTAGTTTGACAGCTCCCATCTTATCTTTTGCATCATACCATCCCACCAGGAGTAGATCATCAATAAAACGGTTGCCATTTATGTATTTTGCATCAGCACCCAAGGATTCCACAAACTGTTGCTCAGCGTAAATACATAGGACATTGGCCAAAGGTGGGTTTGCCCTTCCTCCCATTGGAGTGGCAATAGTCTGCCGCAAAATCTGTGACTTCGCAAAGAAAAAGGTATTACCCAACTGGAATTTCGTCAGAGAGATTAAGTCTGTCAATCTAATTGATTTCCAGCCCAATTCCCCATGCGATTTCCCGAGAGTCGCCTTCTTTCCCTTACTCTTCACTCGAATCCATTGATGCCCTTTATCCCGAAAGACTTCAATCAGCCAACTTACTGCCTTTACAATCTCATCATGTGGTAGTCTCGTGAACATCTCCTTTACATCATATGTTCTAAGTACGAATCGACTGTCCAGGCCCCATCTACGGCTCGCAGATTCATTACTATTCTTCAATTTTTCTTGCAAGTGTCAGGCTCCCGTGAGGTTAAAGTGTGTCCTCCTCAGTCTTTTTATGAGGAAATTTAAACTCTGCGCCAGGTAGCCCATCGCACTTCTGGTGGGACTCATAAATGAAGGTGCAATCGGTCTCTTTCTCCCAATGTCTTTGCCCTTTGATATGATGTAGGCTGGTTGGAATATCCCTTTGTTGTCTCATTTCGCAA